GCGCAGACCCGAGAGCGCCCGTGGCACACGGTGGCAGCAGCGCGGGCAGACCAGGCGGCGACAGCAGGCGGCCCTGCTCCAGCAGCCGCAGCACGCTGCACGTGGCCGCGGTCTCCGATACCACCGAGCGCAGCTCCGAGTCCTTGCCCTGGTCCTTCTTCTGCTTGGTGCGCCGGTTCTGGAACCAGACCTTCACCTGCGCGCGGGGACGCAGAGAGGGTGGGAGAGAGGAGTAAGGAAGACGAGCGTCAAAGGGAGCGGGCTCCTGGGGCGCGAGGGCTCCTGGGGCCCTCCCCCTGCCCCAGCCCTAGCCACAGCCCCACCCCGAAGCCCGAGAGGTCCGGGCACCCGAGCTGCGGGGGAAGCTGGCGCCACCACGAGGGGGACACAGCTCTACTGGGCTGCGCTTCCGGGTCATGGAAGCAGGCCCGGGCCGGGGCCGTTTAAAAAAACCAAAGTGATAAAAATGTTCACAACCAGAAGGGATTTCACTGGGCTGCCGCCCTACCCCCAGCAGGATTGGGGGCTCACAGACAAGTGAATCAGCTCAGCCTGTGAGCCCGAATTTCAGGTAAATGCTGTGAGGCCTTAGGCATGCAGTGCTAGCGGGAAGCAAGGAGGATGGGGAGGAGTGTTTTTGGCCTTCCTGGACCAGGCCCCTGGCCCAAGGCTCAAATTTAGCTCCAGAAATGCTACTCTTGTTGAAGGCTGTAAAGCCTGCTTTTGGGTTAAGAACTGACCAAGAACTAACAGCAAGCAGGAAAGGGGGCTCTAGGAGAAATAATTTGGGTGAAGAAGTATTTCACAGGCCAAACTTTCTCCACTTCCTATCACTGCCAGCTGAGTTGGAAGGTCTGCATGTTACTTTTAATCTATCATTCCTGTTGCTCTCCATCATGAACTTTGGAATCATGGGAAGAAGACCAGAGACTGAGATAGACTACTACCCTACCCCAACCTCCCAGCTCACTTCCTCTTCTGCCCTTCTTCTGGCCTAGTGGTTACCTAGAATAGAATGTAGCAGCTATATGGAAAGGCTACCTTGTCTAGAATAATAAGTTATGATGCCAATTAAACCTCTAAAAGAACATCCCATCTATTCTATCCTCAGTCCTCAAGAGTTCCTCCAAAACTCCAGGCCTAAAATGCTCCCACCTACTTCAGAGGTGAGCATAGGGAAAGGACTTGTCATCAGAAAGAAGACTGCCTTAGTAGGTCAAACTGGTAACATGGCCTGGTCAGCCCCAAAACGGCCTTTGCAGGACAAAGCTCTCAACTCTACAGTGACTCTAGGCCCAGAATTCACAAGGCCAGCTTCAGGGACAACATATGGATTCAATGTAAAGAAGAAGACCTAAAGACAGTCAGCAGTACTAGCTCCCTGGACCGACCCTAGATCTATCTGCTACCCTTCCCATACCTCACCCCACTGGCACAGCAGGCAGAGCCTCCTAGCAGTTCAGAGTGGTTTTCATCACTGTGTCCAGAACAAACACAGGACCAGGGCAGACATATTTGCACAGGCAGGTCTCTGGGAGTTGCACACCTTTCTGCAAAATGGGTTTGAGAGTTGTGTAAAGCCCCTGACACAAAGTGGTCAGTGACTGGAAATCCGGCCAATAATGGAGTGCCCAAATAGGCAAAAAGTCCGTCTTTATAGAGTAGAAGTAAGAAACAAATTCTTAACTCTGGGATCCGGGAACCAATAAGAATTCCTAAAGGACAAGATTTGGTACTGCCTGGGCCAGTCCAAGGTATGCAAGATTTGGGGATGCAGAGGGAAAAGGCGACTTGTAGAAGGGGAGGAAGCCTCTGCCCTTTCTCCTCCATTGGCCCATCTCCTCCACTTCCCCTGGGAGGTTCTGTCCAAAGTCAAACTGAGTAGTGGGAAAGAACAAGCTGGGAGGAGGATGGGAGGGAGCCTGCTGCAGAACTGTGCACAGCCTGGCTGCCTAGTACCTGGGTTTCAGAGAGGTTGAGCTGCCGGGCGAGCTCTGTCCTCTCGCGGCCCACCACATACTGGCAGCGCTGGAACTCCATCTCCAGCCGGTAGAGCTGCTCCGCCGTGAAGGACGTGCGTGTCCTCTTGGGCCGGTCCAGGTCCAAGCCTTTCGGCAGGATGATCTCTCGGATGGACCCCTTGGCATCTGGGGAAGGGGAGATGTCAGGCATCAAGAACCCTCCCCTCTCCTTCCGCCTTCTTAGCCAGAGCTGGCTAGAGGACACAGTACCCAGTAGTCTGCAGGGGGGTGAGGGTGCGGCCACAGCCGGGAATCAAAGGCACCGTGTGTTTATGTGGGGCAAAGGAGCTAACTCCACACCACTGACAAGAGGAGGGACCAGACTTTGTCTATGTAGAGCCCTCCAGACAAGGGAGGGGAAAAAATCAATTCCAAATAGACTGATGTTCCTTCTGGCCTAGGGGACCTCGGCTGCGCGACCCGGGTTCCCTGTAGCCTGAGGGTGCCTTCACTGACCAGCCCGGGTCCTGTGGGCATCAGGCTGTGGAGCAGCCTGCGTTCCAGAGCTCCAGAGGTCCCCACCCCCACCCCGGGTCTCTGGCCCTCCGGAGTTCGGGCGGCGGAAGAAGGAGGGAGGGAATCCCGGCCCGCAGGGCCTGGCTATCTGCTGGCGGGGGCGGCGCCGGCCCGAGGCCGGGCTTCGCCGCCGCCACTGCCGGGGCTGAGCGCACGCTGCGCCCCAAGTAAGGCCGAACCAAGCCCTAAGTCGACAACCGCAGCCCTGCAACCCAGCTCGGCCGATTTTCCTGGCAGCGGCGGCCAGGCCCGGAGCGCAGCGCCTAGGCCCTCGGCCCAGCGCGCCAACTGGCCGGCCGAAGCCCGCGCTCCCTGGGGTGTGCTCAGCCTGCCAGGGCGCAGGAGCCTGCAGGCCAGCTCTCTGCAGGTCCTCCAGCTCTTAGGGCGCGCTCACATCCTCCTGGAGTTCCCAGGTCGGAGGCCGCAGCCTGGTGGCCGGCCTCGTCCGCTCAGCCCCTCGGCTCTCTCGGCAACCTGGCCGGCGGGGCCCCTCCGAGTCCCCTGGAGAGCGCGCTGGTGAGCCCCAAGCTCAAGTCCCAAGCGGCCGGCCGCACCCTGGCAGGGAGGGCCAGCAACTTTCTACGAAGTCCCTGCCAGCAACCCCTCCCCGCCGGCCGTGGTCGGTGGCGGCGCGCTGCTCGGGGCCTGGAGTCGCCCCCAAAGAACGCGCCCAGCAGCCCTGCCCATCCCTACCTCGGACCAGGATCCGGCGGCAGTAATCCGGGTCCGCAGCGGAATTGGATTTACTTTTGTTACAGTCTTCCGCAGCGCCCGACGCGGAAAAGGCGCCCTGCGGCTCCTTGAGGAAGGCGGCCGGGAGGCTCCCCTCGGCGCCCTTGATCTCGCGGCTCTCCTTATGCGTGTTCTTCGAGACCCGGGCGGCCTCGGTGTCCGAGTGGCACCGGACGTCCATTTTGTCTGGTTTCCCGAACATAGGCAAAACACACAGAGAGAGGGGAAAAAATAGAATGATAAAAAAAAAAAAAACGAAGAAAGAAAGAAAAAAAGGAGAAAGGGAAAAAAAAAGAAGCAGAAGGGGACAAAACCCCTACAACGCAGCCTCTAAGCTCAGTCTGGAGAGAGGCAAGCGGCAAGAATGAATGTCCCCCGCGGGGCGGCTTCGGCGGCCGCCGGCGGGTCAGCAGCGACGGAAGAGTGGCGCGCTCCCAGAGAGGCGGCGGGTCTGGTCCAGGATCCCGGTGCAGCCGCGGCGAGGCCGCTTCGTCAGCGCCCGCGTCTTCTGAGCACGTCCAATGTCCCCAGCCTGGCGATCAGGTAGCGAACAGCGCAACTCCGAAATGCTGCGGCTCCCGCCAGTTACTGAGACGGCGAGTTGTAGTTGTCCGACACCCGGGGGGACGCACACTCGCTGTTGCAATTGATTACGGGTAATTTCGCAGCCCCCACGTTTCGGTTACCTCATGAATACACTAAATTGTTTGGATAATATATCAGATCGTAATGGATGGTTTCTGTCCTTGTCCCCAATCAAGTAGGGGTTTAGCCAGTGAATAAACGGAAATGATTGGTCTTGCTTTCAGGAAACACACAATCAAAGACCTACACTTCCAGAAAAACTTTTGACAAGATTCATCCTGAATTGTTAGTACCATTAGCAGGCATTATTAACTTTCCCTTTGCCTTTGACCCTCCTGTTCACATACTGGCTAGAGGGGTTTTCTCCACACTCGCCAGATAGCGCTGAATGAGGGTGGAGGGGGGAGGGAAAATACCCCTCACACACCCTGCAGCAGCAGAAGAAAGCAGTTGCCTCTGGGTGGGGAGAGCGGGGGAGGAGAGAAAGTTTTCCCCAAAAAGTATCTCCCCCACACTCAAAAAAGCCAAGCTGTCTCCCCAAGCAACTCCTTAACACACCTCGACGCTGACAGCCATCTTAAACTGCCACCTCTCTTCATTTAGTTCCAGTTGGATTTTTTCATGCCTGCACCTCCAGCAGCCCTGAGACAGCCCATTCAAAGGGCAGCTTTGTGCTCAGAGAGTCCAGCAGGAGAGAGAGAGGGGGAGAGAGAGAGAGAGAGCAGGGAAAATCTCAACTGTGAGATCTGCTTCAAAAAAAAAAAAAAAAAGTTTTCCCCTAGCTATTTCATTGTCTCTGCTACAATATCTTTGAGAAAAGCAACAGCCAGTAATCCAATAAGAGCATTGATTAGGCTACAATGATTCAATTCAAGCGCATGGCCTTGTGCAAGGAGCATGCTCCAGCCCTTCTCGTCACCTTGCCGGGGCAGAAGCCCTCTCCACGCCGCTCTCCCCATTCATTCCTTTATGGGAAATGCGGAGCAAAAGGAGTGAAAGATGGCAATTATCTAATTGGACTATTAACAAACAGTCCTCTGAGTGCGGCGGTCTGGCGTGGCTCCTGGGCGGGGGAAGGGCCGTGTTCCCTGCCCTCATTCACAAAGAGTGCAGGGGCCGCGGAGG